ATTAAAGAAAATACAAAAGTGATGACGAAAAATTGTCATCTCGCATTCAAGATTTGTTGATAATAGTGCCAATACATGTATATGTACAGTACGTATACTGTATTGCATGCTATAGTATACTATAGATGTTGGTCATACTAATTACGTTGAATTATCATTACTGAATGATTCTCTTAAAATGTAAAAATGTAATGGTAAACTCGTTGGAATATTTAATATTATATTAAAAGGTACATTCATAATTACTTACCCTTTCGGCTAGTTTAGAATCTCTAGCTGCGGACTGTGTCAAGTTTAACATTAAAATAATGCATAAGTAATCGGTAATCCGGGGAAGATAGACAATAAAAGAAAATAATACGATTTACTCATAGGTAATTTGCGACACTAGATCATTTCAATCTATCTATATGTGCATATATGAGTATACTAACTGTCCAAAGAGAAACAGTATTTCGCCCATTTTTATCCTAGAAGCGATGTTTAAGAGTGAAAGAAAAAGAATTTTTTAGTTAAACAACTCTTTAACATCCAAATATAATAATTTATGCATAATAAAATTTCAAGTTTATGTTTGTCAATTAGAGTTGATTATGTCATCAATAAAACTAATCTGATATTTTTAGAGATTTACTACAAGAGCACTCATAGGTGAATAAGAAATTAGTATAAATTCATAAAGTCTAATATCTATTGAAAGCAATATTAAATGATTCGCTAAAATATAATGATTTAAGCGGTAGATGTTACCGGAAAAACTTAAAAGAAAAGTTTAAAGAAGTAGCTATAAGTGTTCACTATGAGTCTAAACTTATCAATTTTTGTTTAAATTCTACTAAAGCATTGCTGTCTAAGTACCAGATTATACATATAGCGTAATCTTTCATTTAATAGTAAGATTTTTACACTATCTTCTATTCTATCGAACATCAGCAGTAAATTTATCTTATTTATGGCTAATCTCAAAATTATCGCAAGAGTATCATACAGTATAAGACAATAACCTTCGATATTATATTCAAACATTCGATTCTATGTCGCTGGATAACAAATATGTTTTCTTGTATTGTAGTAAACTGAAATGATCAATTATAATTATGATGAAGATAATGTACCATCAATAACTTAATTATGGTTTTGATCAATATATCTACTCCATACAGTATTTGAACATAAAATCTACTCGGCAAAATAATTGAGAACGAATAATGTATTAAAGAGTATAGTGTGTAACCCAAAATAGATCATGTATACAGATTAGACAGTAAGATTATACAGGTGCCTAATATTTAGAAAAGGTGTTGATTGGCGCTGCAAACGTAGATAATGGTAGTGGCTAGTTTTATTCATGTAATAAAGCGAATTTTAGAAGGAATCGAAGTTCTTGTCGTATTAATTTTGAGACATATGTCAAGTACGGTAAAGAAGTTTTAAAATTAAAAATGAATAGAATGCTATTATTCTTATCAACATTGACTTACCATCGATTTTCCTGAAGATAGGCCAGCAATAGCAATAACTATCAATGCTAAAATTTTTATCTTATGGTCCATGAATAGTAATTTTTGGTAATAATTTTACTGAGACAAATTATTTGATATAACACTATTTGTCCACCAGTTTTACTAGTGATGCAATTTTGTAATGAGGTTACTACTCCAAAACTTCAATATTTATACACATCGTATGTTCTATTTATACACATCGTATGTTCTAAAAGATTAATTAGTAAATTATTTAAGCTCCAAAGACCATTGTATGAACTTAAGAAAATAATATATGCTCCACTTATTTCTAAAATCTATACGAAGGAATGCCATAATCGCGATGATGAAACTTTATTATTTATTTATTTCTTAGTTAAATATTGATGATCAAATTAACTTAAATTTAAAAGCTTGAAGTAATTTCCTTACTTATTAAATTATTTAGCAGTGATGCGATTGGCTAAATTATAATATTTTACCTTCCACTCTAGCCTACCCATTATACATTTGCTACTTTATCAAAGCCACAGTTTACTTCTTAATTAAAAATGTTTAATATGAGACTTCAAGAATGAGCAAATAAAACCGTTACATACTATTATAGTGATTACCAGTATTGTTTGTGTTAGCTTCTTATAAAATAGCACGGTACCATCACTAAAGAGTTCATCCGATCGATACTAATATTTAATACCGCAATTATTTATTTCCATTACAGTACGTTCTGTATTTACAGTATATCAAAACTAAACAGGAGATTTAAATTTAAGGAGTATTTTTTACTTGATGCCAGTTGATCATAAGTATTCATAAAGTATATTTTTTTAACGCGTCAAAAACATGTTTAGGATGACATTATTCACCCATATGAGCAATTTGTATAGTACATGACTCGGCTTAATATTGTAAAGTGATGGGAAGAAAAACACCTGGAATTACTTTCGTTATTGTTTTAGAAATAGAAGATTAATCAATCGGAAATACCACTCTTACAACGCCATTATAGCAACTTATTTACAGCAATTAAATAACATCACTTTGTTTGGTGCAATATTTCTTTCTGAAAAATATGCCCGAGCTTTGTTAAATGCTTTAATATTGGATTAATAATAGCCCTCATATATTATTTTAATGATTACATATAATTAGTTAGGCTTATATAAATCGTCACAATAAGACGTGATATCAATCGTAATAGATTATTGTAAGTATTGATCATCAAGTTTGTAAAGAAACGACTAGCCTTAAAAATACTGAATGTCATAAGGTACATAAATAGTACACAAATATTCGTATATACTTGCCTAAAAAAAACAATGAGGCCACGAAATTTTATATTTTGTTGGATTATTGGAAAAGTTTAAAATTATAAAACTTTATAACCGTACATGATCATATACGATAAAACGCTCGCTTAATAGGGAGATGATTAAAAATCATAAATAACTGAAGGATTAGCAATCAGCCTAGTATTTACCATTTCGCTTTTATTTAGCAACTTTTAATGATTTTAAGTTGCGGCTTACATTTTGTTAGTTAATATAAATTTTCCTATTTGCTATATACTTAATAGCGGGTTTAACGAAGTTGTTTGGAGATCACTACCTTAGCACCAACCCATATACTGAATTAAGACATTATATCATTCATTACTTTTTCCTTGACTACACGGTTACAAACTTCTCTTCAGCAGATAACAGAACGGATAGCTTGTAATTTCTTATTAGTAATTACTATTTTAGTAACAAAAAAATAGATTAAATATTTATTCATTGAAAAATCCAAACGTACGAATTATCAAGTTTATTGACCTTATCAATTCCTTCAGTTACGGCATATTTTTTATTCTTTACAGACTAATAAATAGGAGGACAAGGGAAATCTTAAAATAATAATTATAGAAAGTAATTCTTGCGTTAGTACTACATTGTAATACTATCGCACTACGTTAGGATCCAAAATTGGGTTAGAGTATAGTCACTGGGAATCAAATAAATAAGTTCTGTTTCTTTTTTAAATCTCAGTTAACTGCAGTAGATAATGATTACATGAAAATCTTGAAATCGTGATTATAATTTTACCTTTAAGACTTGCTAACTTAATTAGATTTTTAAAGTTATTACATGTACAGCTAGATACAGAGTTATACATCCATTACAATAGTTATCTAATTATAGTATGCCAAGGCATCCAACTGCCTTTCGCAGAGCCTCATGAAAATTTAACTAAATCTTTTCTCATTCTTACTAAAGGTAGCTCAGGAATGAATAGTGATCTGTCATCCGGCAACTAGTCTGAGTTATATACCAGTCAGCACGTACTTCATTATACTGTATACTGTATCCTAATACCATAGCAGGTTGTCAGGAAATAATTCCATAACTATGTTAAAGGGCAATATATAAGCGGTGTTCTGGCATGTTTTTGTATAAATTCGATAGAATTGCTAATCGCCTTTCAAACGTTACAGTGCTAAAAATCGTTTAAAAAAATAAAAAATAAAGCATAGCATTCGGTAAAAATTGTGTATGCTGTAGCTTACTAGTACTATATGCTTAGTTCGCTAAATAGCATTGCAGGCTCGAGTTTAACGGATATCTATTCAAAATTAAAGATATAAAACTTACACATGTAGTTAAGTGATCTAATAGTTGTAGCACCATTTGGCGATTTTTCATTTAATTAACTCGGTTAGTTCTTTGCAATACAGTATGCAGCATTAAAATTTCATTTCTTCTTACGAATTGTCAATATTCATATGAATATTATACTGATATTGATCTCATAGCTAAATCGATTAATCATCTTTACGGTTATACGGTAATCTGATAACATACAAGCAGCGCTATTTGGTGCTATTATACGTAAGAAACATCGACATGAGCTTTACTTTAGCCATAATTCTATATTTCTTATATTCTGTTTCTAATCGACACAAATATGTAATTCTCCATAATGTGCTATAGTAATGTTCATTTCTGATATTTTTTTGGTTTAAGATTAAAACTAAATAGCATACGTATTACTTTACGTGAATAATCTTAAACAGTCCAATCAAATTATTTTTAGCAACAGAAAATTTTAATATGATTGCTATGGCATATATACGTATTTTTTTACCAGTAGACGATATTTCATGTGTCAAACCATGGTTCGTTCATTGAATATGATGTACAGTTGACTGCAGTACTACGATAATACAAAATTATCGAACTAATAGCAAAATTTACATTTGAATAAGAACTTAATATCGTATAATTAATGAAAGATGATTTAGCTACCATTTCGAGGCTTTTTATGAGAGCAGTAGATCTCATTATGACAATGAAACGTATTTTATTAAGAAAATGTAAAAATTTGGTTATCTCATAGCGTTCAACACCATAAATGTAGCCGTAACAAGTCTAGCTCACGAACGTTTATTAATTTAAAGTTCAAATACAAAGATAACGCAAATACGATTATGCAATCACAACGTGTATTCTCTATGGCTACTATTACTGACTTTGCGCTTCACTCTATCTTCTCGGTGCCGATAGTTAAGGATGTTGCTTGTTTTGAAATGGTCTCTATTAGTTCTATTTTAATTTCTCCATCCCTATAATATCAGTGATCGTAAATAACAATGATCAATCCCTGATATCATCACTAGAAACTTTTCAGGAAAATAAAGTGCGATTACAGATAATTAATAGAACAATTTACGAACAAAAATAGTCTTAAATATATCATCTAAGGGTTGTCTAGAAAGGACTAGGGTATAATATTGAGTTTACAAGTACTATATACACATTTTACATAATCGTACTATTTAATAGTAGATCAGCTAAAAAACTGGGTGTTTCATGAATACAATCGAACGAGTAGAATATTTATAGTTTGTCATACCGTTTATATTCCACATCAATTATAAAGCGGTTGTCATCGTCTTTTGATAAATCGGTTAATACCAACTACGGCGGAAAACCCGAGATTCAGAAATTGTCTTATCATATAAAGATTACATAGATTGTAAGAAACCCAACTGTAGCGAATACCTTTGCTATTGGTCGAATTTCGTACTCTTTGTCGGATCGAAGCAATTGATGTACATATATACAAACTAGAGGATTCTCGACACAGACTTCTCGCAGCGGAATTCTCTTTCGGAAAGGAAGAGGACAAAGGTTGGGAACAATAACCTGCACGTCGTCCACTATAAGATCACTTTCTCTGTCCTAATACCGTAACAAACTTTATATTTATTCTATTTTAACTAAGATTCTATTATTTATCGCCTATTCTATGCTATGAAATGACTAGAGATATTTACCGAGACACAAATACCACACGGAGAGCAAAGGACTGATAAAGTCTTCTCACTGCAGTCGGAAGATTCTTTCGAAATAAGCCCTCCCTGTATAATTAACATACGAGTAGGAAGAATAATCAGTGACTAATCACGAATGCAGCTAAACATAAATTCTTTACGTAAATTACTCTCCAAGATTTCAGCTAACCAACCTGTGCAGCGGCACCGATAGCAATGACCTCTCCTGGATTTATACCTACACAGACTGGGATGTCAAATCTGGCTTTAATTATTTCTTGGAGTTTTAAAATACGTGATGATCCTCCGCTAAGAATAATCTATGTATAAATATTATTAACTTTAATGACTTACATTAAATTATCACGACATTAAATCTGAAACTATACAACGGTATATGATTAATTTTCGTTAAATAATAATATTAATAGACTGCTACTTTAATGTAATAAATCGCAAGCGTTTTTTGCGACCTTAGCAATATCAGTCTTGGTCAAAGATGTATCATTCAAGGTATTATCGATTAAGTTAAGGCACTTTTCCAATAGTTTACTGCATAGCATCTCAAATTTAGTTCGACTAATACTACACTGGTAATCGATACCATCATACGCGGATTCAATGAAATGAGTTGCAGTAGGAGATAACGATAGGATTTGTTTGCATTGCTCAGCAGCTTTTAAGAATTTATTGAGAGCGCGTTGACTGTCCCTTGGGATCTGTACATTCCATTTTCTAAACAAAATTTATTGTAATAAATGAAAATATAAATGAATCCAACAAGGTAAAAAAAATTATAATTATATAACTACTTTGAAACTAGCCCATACTTTTCAAATTCCTTTATTAAACATTCACTAATAGTGCAACTAAAATCTTCTCCACCAAAGTTTTGCTCGTTTTTGTAAGCTAATATCTCATATAATCCTCCGTCTACCCTCAATATAGTTACATCTGTGCTCTTACCCCCCAGACGAAATATTAGGTAGTATCTAAAATTACACAGAAATTGCATAAAATAAAATTGTATAGATAAAGTTATGAAAAGGTATCTGAAAGAGTACTACAAAATAATGGATTGCATTATGAATGAAGAATAACCTACCCATTTTCGTATATGTCATTCTGTCCTATCTGGTACGCTAACGCAGCAGCGCAGGGTTCTTTCACAAATCGAAGAACGTTAAATCCAACTTCTTCAGCGGCGGCCCTAGAAGGATATAATAGTTAGGAATTGGCGAATCACTTAGCTTTTAGTCAATCTGACAGTGATATGCAATTTGAAGTAACTAGTAAGTCCACAAGTACGTAAGTTACTTCAGTGCCAGTATTTGCACGTCCTTATAATAGACGGGTACAGCTAAAACGACCCGGATAGGTTCTTCTTGGGTGTAAGTTTGCGTAATTTCTAATTAGTACGAATACACTGATCAAAGTTAATGGTTATGTTTCAAAGCTAAGTATAGTTATATTTTGTTAGATCCTAGGTTACTTAACCCTTTGATAGCTACTACAATTTAAGATAAATACAGTTTATCGACATATACCTTTCATTTTCTGTAGCAGAAGTACTACAAGCCGAGACAACGTAAAAGTATCTTTCAGATTTTCTTTAAATTTGAAAATAATATCTTCCTCATCGGATTCTATCTACAGTCAATTTATGGTATACGGTGATTTAATTTTAATTCTAGAGCTATCTAATAACTGATTCTTTAACTACTAGAAAAAATATTTCATTGAAAGTGTCAGCTAAGAAGGTGTAATATATTTCACCATTGTCGCCGTAATTAATACCACGCGTATACCCGCTCTAACTGTCACGTTACCTTACATTTGGATTTACGAACGAATTCTTGTACTTTGAAATCCTCCGATCTTCATCAATATAGTAAACACCAAACATTTAAGTATTATATAAATTCTATCGTACATCGGTAATAACTTGCGAGACCTCAAAAATTTTTTAGGTACGAACAGATATAGAAGTTACCTTTACTATAAATATAAATATCTAAAAATTCTAGAAATCACATATCGCATTACAATAAAATAATAGTTTATTGCATTCGCATACTTTAGGCCGATAATAGAACGAATATTTTCTACTATTATATCTTCACCAGGTCTGTAATTTAACGCAGAATTGATTCCAACAGCCTACGATTACAACCAAAAAAATGCGTAAACACGACCTGACGTAATAAATCTTAGAATAATTTGCTATGTGTTCTAGGGTAGCTCAACTTGATAATCAAATAAATACATAACACTTCACTCACTAATCAGCACAGCTGCTAGCAGTATACAAAATCTGCAGTTCGAATAATTTATAATTACATTTACTAAAAATTTAACGAAGTTACTTCTAACACCGTTGCGTGATGCATTTGCCAAAACGCTTTAATCAACTTTCCAGGTTAACTACCATATGGTAAAGTAATACTTCATCTATTAACAATCCAAAATTAGTGATTGTACTAGTATCAAACCTAGTTAATATTCAACACGTTTATATACCCACCAGAAGTACAGTATAATATTAGCCAAAAGGCTGAACTGTTACAATTCAGGAGCCAAAGCTGATTCTAGCACATATTATGCAATTGCCCAATAAGCGCTAAGTAGCAGATAGCATAATTGTGTTAAAAGTGTACTATATACGACTTGCTATTAAATAAATAAGACGGCTTGATTAATGCTCCTTGTAATTGTAATGTAGGTACATAGTTGTCGTTTTACTGATTTCTATGGTAAACCAGAAACTATCAATCAGGTTTCTTAACAGCAGAGATGGATGATTTAGTGCAGCTGGATTACATTATACGAATAAGAAATAACGTAAAAATATTGCGAGCCTATTCACAGATCGAATATTCATACATAGTGAGCTCCTTTACAAGCGATCACAGCAGGCGTTGATCGATGGCCATCATTATTTGCTAAAATTTCCGTTTGACCATCCTAAAAGGTTACAAAGCAATACTATTATTTCTAGGCTAGGAAAACTTCATAAGATAGGGTCATGATGTTATTTGGATCAATTTGATCCGATTATATACTCATGTAACTTTAATGTATATGATGTAAAATAGAAAGTGTAAGCGCATAACATATACACATTCAAACTATACAGTGCCAGTACGCGAAGTATAACGAGCATGGGCCTACTAGTAATTTATTAATTATACGTCGTATATTATTCACGTATCAAATGCCGCTACAGTAGATAGGCAAAGTTAAAACAGTAAAATACGCATAGCGTAAAGCATTCTACTGTCCGTTACTGTAGTGTACTGTACAGTAGAGTACCATATAACATATACTGTCTGCATATTCTGCCAAAGGCAGCACGCCATTAAACTCGTACTGTAACAACGTTATATTCGTTGAGCAAAGATAAACTGAAAATACTAACTTTATTCTTGATTTGATTAATAAAATGATAGCACTTGTAATATATTAATATGCTTGTATTATAATTATACATAACTTACTGTACACCTAGTAAAATACCATTTAGTGAAAGGTATAAGTACTGTTGGTACACGCGAAGTATAACGAGCGAGTAGAGTTCTCCGACGTGGCGAATTCTCTTACGTACACTAAGGGTCGTAAAGTACAGTATTACTGGACTGTATATCTTTTGCTGTACAACATACAGTACAGTACATCTCGTATAGTGTATGTTACTGTACATCTTTGCAGGTTTTACCAAATCCTACTCAATTTTACTACATTCAACATGTTAATCAACATGATCTGGAATACATGAATAGCATTACTCAACGCATCCTGACAGTTCCATATTTATCAGCTTTTAGAACTGCTATAACGCAATTTACCTTGCAAACAGCCAATGTCAAATTAGTTCCTCCAAAATGTAAACCAAACGCCGTCATTGCATGAAATCACGAAATAAGAACCTGTAAAGTTTTTAAAAGCTTACACTACAGTACAGTATTGAAGAGTACGGTACAGTATGTGTATTTATTGTACTGTACTGTACTGTACTGTAGGTTCTCCATACTATTTTTTACGCATGTCAACAAAAGCACCAAAGTACAGTACCGTACGCTTATTTTAAGGGAGTCAATGGAACCATGATACTGTACACTGTTTACAGTAATAGGATATTAGGATACAGTACAGTACAGTACAGTGAGTGTACACTGTGAGGAAATAGTACAGTACTGTACTGTACAGTACAGTACATTACCGCAAATAGCAAAATACTGTAAAGTCGGTAATGAGCGAACTGCGATAGGCTGCGATAACTTACTGTACGCGACGAGCGAGGGGTACACGTACGTACTAGCAGCAAATATGATACGACATTGCCTTGCCTCAACTTCACGCTTAAATATATCCCTAAAGAATTATGGTAATTACAATAAATATCCGTATATCAACCAATTTAATCGAGCATTTACCAACTCATGCAGACTGGAAAGAGCCTGTGAAATAACAGGTTCACAACATCCATCTTCATGTGGTAATGAAACAATATTCGGAAAGATTCTATCAGGACATATACCTGCTGATATATTATACGAAGACAATGATGTGAGTCATCATTTATCTTGAACACCTACAACTATGACTTATCAGTAACAATTATGTTCTCGTTTTAATGTTACACAATTTACGGAACACACTATATGCTGTAATACCAAATGGGCATTTTATTATTTATTTTTTTTTGTAGTGTATAGCATTCCGTGATGTCGATCCAGTGGCTCCTACACATTTTCTTGTAATCCCTAGAAAATACATCTCGCAACTCAGCTTGGCAGTGAAAGAAGACTCAAAAGTACGAATGTACCTACAGTACAACTATTTCTATTACCTGATGATCATTTTAGAACACTTTGTTTAACAATTTTCTAAAGTTTTTAGACTTTTATAATACGTATTATATCTGTATTTTATAATGTACTGACCAGCATGTCGAACTTCATCTCATGCATTAAGCAACCATTCTGTCAGTCTACCACTTAATTAACCCTTTGATGGATTTTATGGTAGACAAGACATGATACAATACTATGACAACTCCTTAATTCGTACCATGCATACGAGTATATTAAATTATCATTCACTGACCAACAATTAAAAAGATACTGTACTGTAGTATGCCTGTGTATACTTCACGGCTTCAAAGCAACCAACGACCTATGTAATTCATAGTTAGTTATCTTTTTCGTGCAATCAATCACTGAATCTAAACCTATACACCAGCTGTGCGGCACATAATGCATACTATGACTATCTATGAACAGTAGATACATGAGCATTGCCTGTTAATTTAATTTAAATTTTAACAACATACGCTAATTATAATTATTAATGAATAGGATCTCGCAGCTATGCTCGTACTGTAGATATCTGTGGCACAGCATATAATGATGCATACTTCAATGTAGGTAAATGGACCCTGCCAGCTAATCTAGTTTGATTTTTTATCGTTAGATCTTCAGACCCTGATTTAATTCATTAACCGTACTCTTCGGTATTACTTACTTAAATTAACTAGTAAGTGTTAACTTCAGCTATTAGGTCATTTATTATACGTTGCCAAAGAAACTGCAAAGAAAGAAGGTCTAGATAAAGGCTATAGAATTGGTAAATCTTATCAATAACAATCGTTACAACGCTAAATTATTATTGCAATACCTGAAATTCGCTCTTCAATTTACCGGTATTGTCTACACTATAAAGGTTTGCTACTGTACCCTTTGTTTTTGCATTAGTAATCCAGTATTCGTAGTGAGCTGTCTCCGTTTAACAGTTCGCCAGTAGCTGATGTAGCTGTATTCGTAACATTATATATCTTATGAATTTTAACAAATTTTATGCTTCACTATACTGCTTCGTAGTGATCAATAATGGCGTGGAGGGTGGACAATCCGTATATCATCTGCATATACATGTAATCGGAGGTTGTCAGTTATCCTGGCCCCCGACTTAACCAAGTTCGAAACATGTCAGTGGTACCAGCTAAGAAAAAATCTCGGCTTTTATTTTACCAATATCAAACTTTCTTATAGTGCGGTATATCATGAAAAATAAGATAATTCCGTTTAGAATTCATCGAAATTTCTAGCTTTATTGCAGTACCCGGTCTGATTAGATTTTAATTCTAGCAACAGCTTGTAGCAACATTACTACAGGATAAGAAGAGAAACGCTTATAACATGTCTCTGGGCCGTGTTTTCTTGTAATTTTAATATTGATGATGATGTAAATTATATAATACAAGTAGTGTATTTTTAAAGGAACTTTATAATGATATTTCTGAAATATAAAACCGCATAAGTGTTTCCGAAAATTAAAGATTTAATCAAGTTAATAACATTATGGTCTATAATTACCGAAATTATATTCAACTGAGGATTAAAGTTATTTAACAGATACTACAAACTGAAACATCTCGAAAATTAAAGCATTCAATAATTTTGCATGAATAAAATCTGTTCTCTTGTAGCTAAGTTAAACTGCTGATTATTGCAATTATATTTAGATGCAATGTAATATTGATAAGAATCGGTGCCTTAAAAAATATTGTCGGTGTACTATAAAAACAAAACCAATCCTGCACTGCCAGTTGATAGGACATAGAAAACATCATAAGAAAATTTTTATTGTTACAGGTTCTATGAATGACGGTCATGGGGATTATAATCCTCAAAATTAACTGCACCGTTTTCCGTTGCGCAGTAAGAATTTTCAAAACAGAAAGTGAATGCAGCAAAACAAGACTCCCCTCTTCATTGCTAGCCGTATTATTCGATAAGAAGTACGGTATACTATCACCGACATTCAGTTTTTACTTTATATACCCAAAGTGTGAATACAGCTTCTGTAACCTAGTTTTGATGTGTTATCGCATAACTTGCCGCAATATGTGCCCTAAATCACACTTTACAATTGATTCATATTATGTTATGATTTCCCTTCACCGCTAAGCAATATCTGTGCGTATGCTGTAGTACCATGTAACAGTATTTTACTGATGTAATTATGATTAATGTATATTAAAAATTTTGTTTTAGACGCAACCAGTTCTTATATAATGAAGAAAGTGGATGATGAGTAAAAATACAAATATATGTTCAAGCAAATCTCATCCTTGAGCTTGCAGATAAACTTTTATTATCGTATAATTATTACAATTAACCAATTATACTCGTAGTAGTATGGTTTGATCAAACATTTTGCAGCTAAGCTATAGTTAAAGATATTAACTTTAGCCCACCCAGTTGCACAAGCGACCCTAATTAGCAACCGTCTTATGTAATAGTTAGAACATGTCAGTATCAGCATAACAAGTACTGTACTCTTGCGACAATCGGATTTAGATAGCTTAAAATATTTATTCAACGTTGAATCCTTCTACACCTACGTGTTCACTTAAACGTAAAATAGCTAATTTTAAAATATGGAGCATTATTACACATTATTCTTTTTTAATCCTCAACCACGAAGTTATATTGTAATGATTGGATGACGTCATGACGATGATTTTAATCCAAATTTTATTATACAAATATAATTGCTACCTTAATAACGTCAATAGCAATATTTCTGAAGCTAATCCATTCAATCTGAAATATGCTATATCTAGCATGGAAATGATTAGCGACGCTCCCTTTAAAAATGTTACCGTGCTAAAAACTAATACAAAAATGCTAATATACGTCTTTCTTAGTAATTTTATTACTAGAAGTAATCGTGCCTTTTAATAGTATGATATAGATATTACATTAAGTTAATAATGATACTGTAAATAATATCATAATCTACTATATTTATGTAATTTTACTTCATGTCATTCATTTAGTAGCATAGGAATAGACTTAAATTTCTTTCCAAGACCGACATATGCACTTTGAACTGGTTTATAGTGTCAATGCTAAATTAACTGATCAGATCTATTTTTAAACTATTATAATCAGTCCGAAGTTAATCAATATAATGAGAAAATAAAGACAATAAAATATGTATTAATTTGGTATTTTGTTATGAAATAATACAATATACAAATCCAAAATTATCTAACGAGCATTATATTTCGCAAAGCAGAATGTTAATTTGATCCTTTTGGAAGTAACTTGTAGGCATTGGTATACGAATTTAATACACTGTTGATTGAAAACATGCAAAAATCTCGTAAGGAGCTAAATCTGTCTTTTGAGTCATCAAATTAATTAAGTCCAAGACAGCAGCTGTTTCAACTTCCTCTGATAGAATCATAGATAAATGTTATAAGTAGTGTCTACCTCGCTGAATAAAGTATCACAATCTGCTTGGTTATATCCGCCAAAAAAATTCCAAATTATCAAATTCCTCAATACAGCATCGGTATCATGAAATTTTTGCTGTTCATTTACACCTATGTTTTATTCGCTTCTGTCTCTTGTAGACGCATTGATGACCTAACAGGTTTTACTGGAAAGTTGGGTGAGTCTCAATATCATAGCGTTTCAATACAGCACAAGCTGCAAAAATATGCTCAGACTAAGCAATTTACGAACTGTTTTTTTATTAGCATTTACTCTAGTTTTTTAGTAATTAATAGTACTATAGGCTCTTTTATTAAGTTAGTCTTGGTGTATCAATATCTTTTTAACCTGTAGTACGTTTCTTTAATCAAAGATTCGATTTGAAGAAGCTAGTATCCAATGTAAAATTAATTTGTAGCTTGGCAATAAAATATCATAACACATGAGAACATATTACAAGAACAAGGATATAAATTTTAGAAATCGTAATTTCCGGGTAAACCTATGAATTAGCTACAAATTTCATAGTGTAAATTCAGTACTATCTAACGAATAAGAACGTAATTTCTGCATATAATTGAATAGCTAATAATAAAATAGATGAGTTCTATTTTTAATTTATTTATATACATACTAATCCAGTTAACTATACAATATACGATTAGTACTTGTATTTATCAACACCAATACTTGATTCTGGTGGATTAAATCAAAATTTTATGGTGCTAACACATGATTCTCTAGAAATCGCTTTTATAACTCGGAATTGTAATTAGTTCGATCTAACTGGACGAAAATGATTTCTGAAATATTTACTAATATGATATAACGTATTCTATAGGAAATGATGACATAACAAGAAAATCCGATGGTCTATTTGATCCCCGTCACTATGAAACGCCATATCAACATCTTCTAAAAAACCCATCAAGTGAACTATTAAAATTTGCACGAGGTGATTTATATGATAGGTATGATGAAGAGGGTTTAGAAACTCGAAGCGATTTATTGAGTATTTTAAATCCCGATTATTTTTCGAAACATGGATCTATCAAAGAAAGCAGCTATGATAGAAAAGCAAGAGAAGATCAACCACCGCCGTATCTTTATCCTAGATATGGTCGTTAAAATCTTTTGACTATGCAGAATAATTTTCATGTATCTGCAAAAGATGAATAGGCATCTTATAACGAATTCTACATTAACATTAAATATGACAGTAAAAAGAAATTCATTAGTTCTAAGTTTATAATGATAGCCGAAATAGCTATACGCTTAAATGCTGTCAGTTACGAGAAATGAAAAAAATAATAACTGATCTAAGTCCTACGTAGCTAATAATCTCATACTTATCGTAAAAACTGCAATGTTAGGTACATGAATAAAGAAACATAATCTTGAAATATTTTAGACGAAGTAATTAATAAAGCAATGATCATTTACTGCATTAATCTCGTCGTGCTACATATGATACACTGTAATTCACAAACTAACAGTTAAGAAAACCCATAGGTGACTTATACTAGTACAGGGCGAAAAGGGCAATCCTTCTAAAGGGGATAATTTAACAATACAATGCATCACAGTCTCGATACCACTGTAAAATATCAATATCTAGTATTGACGTTAAACTGATCGTAAAAATCAGAGCTAATAATACTAAACATTAATTATTTACTTAGGTTACAGAATAAATACGTTTATGTGATAATTACGATAATATCTGTAAAATATAAAGAAAAAGTAGGATTTCTAAGCTTGGATTTATACACAAAGATATCCTGTATTGGAAATATTTTACGCTCTAGCTAGATAGTTAAAGAGCAATAGAAAGTTTCAAGCAATCTCATGCTAAATGACAATTTATCTCATCGTCATTTCAAATTAATCAGATATTTAATTCCTAATTTGCTGGTCGTTTATTCTTTAAGTAATTTGTTACATTATATTAATAAAAACTAACTCCAGACTTCTTTTGTATAAGTTTCTTTCTAAAATATCTTACAAAACATGATACCGCATTGCACGAAATCTGAGGTTACTCGCACATTTATACCCGTATAAATAAATCATTTATTAGTATAATATTGGCAGAAATAATGTTATAATAAAAAGCACTTGCCCGAAAGAACTTATTTGGCGCAGTATGATGTGTTTTACAACTTAGGCATCGCTTTACAATCACCTTTACTAAAGTTGACCCTTACGTTTTGACATTTGCATCATAGGCATATTAACTTGAAGAATTATATACGTACTATGCAGGCTATCACTGTAATCAGAGTACAACTATAGCATATGAGTTTTGTAGTATCCAAGTTCGCTATAATCTGTACATCAGAGCCTACGCAGTATGCTTTATATAGTGCCCAATTGCTATCAAAGGCTTGAGTGAAATTTATCTTCCACACATGCGATACTACATTATAGTACCAATCTCTAAATAATATACTAAAATCTGAAGCTAAGATTATTCTCTGTGATTATCTCTTGATAAAATATCCCATACTAGCCATCATAATTTTTGAAGATCATTTCTTCTTAGATATATCGTAAATTTAAGTTCTAGATTTTAATGAACCTAGCTACTTCGATTGGAGCATATAACTTAATCCCAACTCTCAAAAAAAGTACGAAATATTATTTAATTATAAAACATTATTATATATCCAACATATTAATGAAGTAAAGATCTTTCTATATGTTTCGCTTTTAGAATTTAGAATTTAAGCACTTGCACTGGTTGTAAATACGGTCTTATTGATCGGAAGCTTGTTAAACCTACGTGTCCGTTCTGCAATGTTGTCCGGACATGATATTGTAACCTCTGTATAAGACAAGCAAAATCATGCAATTAATCTGTTATAAATGGTCCATTGCGTAATAAATTCACAGTGTTTCATTCACATCATAGCGCTTAAAGTCTTTTTAATTAAAAGAGGTAAAATAAAAAGTGTCTACACTCAATATGAAACTGTATACAAGTTATATATCGCTATCTGCAATCCAGGCTGATTTGATATACATGACAATAGCTTGTAAAGATCTATAAATTGTTATAGACGTTGAATAAAATTTCTACATTCGTACAAAGATATATTCAATTAATTGGAATCAATTACAACTATATTGTATTCAAATATTCAAGATTCTTGATTGGAATGAAGCTATTTAAAAAATTAGATCATTACTCTTGTAGGCCCTCATATTGGGTGTACAAATGAGCTACATACTAAAATATAACTTTAAATTAGCACCTGCATTTAACCACATTGTTATTACTAGCTTCTAGAAGACTCTATTTATAGCATTTATAAGAATAATTGTTTGCTATCTATAGTTGACAAATTTTTGAAATCATAGTCTACTGTATCGTAAACCACATTGAGTATTATTAAGCAGCATTTTTGAGTAAACCTGTAATGGAATAAAGCATGAGAGCGTTTCAAAAAAGGATTTGTAAATTTTGGGACACGATTTATGTTATAGTAAAATTATTAATCACTATCATAAATTACAAATTAAATTACAGTACCTAACTTGATACCTTTGAGTTAACATGGTAAGCAACCGGTAACGTAGTTTATTTGTTTAAAAGAGTAAACAAAGATAATAATGTACTGTAATTATATAGCACGAGTAAGAGGCTAATATCTATCATTTTTTTGCTATCTGTGATCAAAATCAGTTGATATGGAGCCGTTAACTCTAATTTTCTACATTAGCATTACATACTAAAGTTCTTAGCCTAGAGTATCATCGTCATAGTCAAGTTGAGAATTACATTTTCCCCTAAATCCTAGCATGTTAAAACCATGAGTATCACAAAAGTAAATTACCGGGACGTATATATTATGGATGATTTTCATCTTACATTTATGCATGCATACATTGCTCAAATTATGCATGCATATATATATATACATATATATATACGTATATGTATATATTTTATATTTACATACATGTATAATGTATAAATACGTGTCAGTAATTTTTACGGGTTTCTCAACTATAAGTTAATAGATAGTGGTCATTGAAGCATAAGCAGCTATTGATTTAGGAATATACAGATTAAAACAGTAATTACGAACTAGTTTAACTAGACCTTATTAATCACTGTGAATGATTTTGGAAATTGAAAATACAGCTTCTAAATTTGGATGAAATATCCTAGTACGATAACCTAACATATGTTCACTACTTTATATTCAGGAATTAAGCAGTTTAATAGTAACGCAGTCAATTAAAGAGGATTAAACTAACTTGATCGGTACAAATTGAGTTGCTTTAGCAAATTTATTTGGCCTAATTGTTAAAGACGAAGTACCTCGTGTAACCAAACCTGCTTTCTAAACACCTAATTCTATTTAAACCGTGATCTCACCGTTAATAAAGAAATTATGATTTCATAGTAAGATTGGAAGCCTCATTGTATTTTGCCTTCATTTAATCTAACATTGGAATACCAACTGATCGGTATTCCAATTTTTAGTAATATGGGATAAAGGAAAAATATTCTCAGTACTGATTGCAAGTTAGAGGTATCCCTAGCTTGTAACAATAGAAAATGCATTTACTAACAATAGATAAGCAAGGCAGTCGAGCTGCAGATTCTTCAGAAAGAAGATCAATTGTAGTTGATGAATATAACAATAATGTAACCTGAAACTTATTATATGATATTGTTAACAAAACGAAATTCATCAATTGCATTTTTATATACGCACAGAGTAATTAGATTTGAAATATACCGATCTTGATGAGATCCAATATTTGCTGCAATACTTTAAAACATTAGGAAACTAGCACTACTGTACATTAATTTCCCCTTAGGTAAAAGTATCAATGCAAAAACTTATGTTATTATAAAACCGTAAAGTCTTGCGCACCATTAAAAATAGTCACTCGGTAATTATTCATCAGATTACAGGTTGACAGGATTTAGTGATGACGAACTGGTATTTTAGTCATTTTAGAAGGTGCTTGTGTAATTGAGAAATAGTTGCCTATTAATAAAATAAAGGCAAAGTTCAAGTGTTTTAATTGTTTGCTAAGGCGGAAATACAGTAACATGTGGCAAAACAATGCAATAGCATAAGATGCTGAATCTATTAGCTTAAATAAATAGTGGAAAAAATAAAAGTTATAGAATAGTAACTTAAATACTAAAATGTTATTCGATTTTTAAATATGTTAGATGTGGTGAACATTAAATGCCGACATACTGTAGAGAAGAATCAAGACTATGACAAAGACTAAAGTAGAAGTCAGTACTTATAGAACGATTAAGTATTAGTATGTTAAAGTATGGTCAAATAATATGTTATGTTTAACTAATGGAATATTGCCATGATTTACCGTAGTCGAACCGCACACATGTCACTAATAGCCATCATATAATAACTTTATAATGAATAGTAGCTTTTTGTATTTTGTGTATAATTATAATTGAATTAGACAGTCCTACGTCTGCATGAGAAGGTTTCGTTTATATTCAGCTTTTATTCAATTAACAATAATCCATTGCTTAGATGATGCATTTCATAAGAAAGACTTCGAATTATTTTTAGGAGATAGAAATACTAATGTTATCTAGTCTATAATGGTATGAAGAAATTAGTCTGCACCAGAATTATATAAGAATATCATGTATTTTATCCATAGAAACTTGAAATGAAGGAATCTGAGATTAATGATATGTAATTTTTGCAACTATAAGAAAATTCTTTGCTAATTATTAGATAAAGAATGCAATGCAAATCGAATGGCGAAAATTTAATAAACAATAACGAATTGTCATCACTAACTACGGTAATAATATATCTTAGAACAAATTGTACTATAAGCAGTCACTAATTAAAAACGAAAATAGCATTTACATAGAAGTAATTTTCAAGATAAAATTTGGCATTGTATGCTTGCCATTTCTAATATTAGTCAATTTTACTATATAAATAGCTAGTAAATCATAATTATTGAATAGATTGTTTTGAGTTTTGTAGTAGCCACTTTAATGTTCATTAAAAGATAGTTTTCACTAATTAAAATCATTATTACATGGGTATTATTGTTTTTGCTGTAAAATAGGATTAATTAATAAGAGGAAGTAAGGATAGAAAAACATGTTTTGATTTGATATTTCCATTCCTTTTAGATACTCATTTATCTACTTATAATTAGCAATTTATTTTAACGTTAGGTAATCTGTAATTATACCGATTTAGCAATTTAGGTTTTAGTAGAATATGATTCAATCAACGAAGTTAATATTCAATAAACTATTACAATATGAATAAATAGCATAGATTTAGCTATTACTGAGAACTACCCAAAAATAGCTTTTCTGACATAAGAGAAGAAATGAAATAAATATCGAGATTATTTATATTCGCATAGATAATCACATCAAATATACCAAAGTCAATTATTAAACTCTTGTTATGCTTTAATACATTATAGGATGCAAATAGGTTAGGAATGGTAATTTACCAGCCATCAGGGTTATTTTATTGATTTTTAGCTATCCGATACGCAGTAACATGATATCTAATCAGAATGATTTACACGTATTAGGTTTATCAACTTCAATCACGCAATATACATAACTATCTGCGTCATTCTAATCCTCATAATTGCTCAATTGACTGTAGTGATCTTTTAATTAGTTTGCCATCTGTTCTGCTTCTAATTAATTATAATAATACTAATAAAAATAATATTAATTTGGGTAAAGTTTACGATACCTTATATAATACATACCAACTGCTACGATAGTTTTAAAATCGAGCGTACTCCTTATTGTACGGCGATAGAAAAATCAAAATTTTACCTCATCCAAAGACAGCGAGTCGCATATTTGAATTTTAACTAAGAAAGCCTACTAAACTCCAGTTATGGCAACGAATTCGATTTTCCTATCTTACACTATCCTCATGATCGCGGTAGTGGTTGCTACTACGCCAGGTAAAATAAAATAATACCTGTTTAGAATAAATTGGCATCATGATATATTAAAGCATAACGTAGTAATCTTAAATAGTAAACAATTTTCGATCTAAACTATTCTATCTACAGTTAGTTACTCATTGAAGTAATTATGGTTCTAAAAAGTTATAAAATCGATTACTCTTTTTTGATATCGAACGTGCAAAGCAAGTCTCTTAAAAGATTACTTCATAATTATTAGGAAATGCTCGTTTTATATCATCAGCTAAGAGACACACTTTGCGTGAACAACCAACATTTATTCCTCTAGGCTTTGGTAGGAGAAATTTAGAAGGTAATAAGTGATCTTTTCGGTTCTACAGTGTACTACTAAAACGATACTATTATTACCAGAATTTGCATATTTACATTCTAGACTTGAGTAAATGAAAATTTTGAATACATAAATTCATTCTATGATATAAGATAACTATGATGTCGAGTAGCAGAGGAAGCTTACAGTTACTATTGTATTTACACTGCATTCATGAAAGGGTGCAATCATTGCCGAATGCATATATTCATAATGTAGACTAGTTAAGCAATAAAAATTTAATTTACGATTTCTTTCTTGATTTCAGATATCAAAGTAAGCAGACAATCTCACAATTCTGATGTCCTTGATAGAAGAAATAGTGAAAGCATCCAACAAGGAATGCCATCTATTATGTTTGGTAAGAGAAATAGTGAAAGCACCCAACAAGGTATACCCTCTATTACGTTTGGTAAGAGAAATAGTGAAAGCACCCAACAAGGTATACCCTCTATTACGTTTGGCAAGAGAAATAGTGCAAGTACCCAACAAGGTATACCCTCTATTACGTTTGGTAAGAGAAATAGTGAAAGCATCCAACAAGGTATACCCTCTATTACGTTCGGTAAGAGAAATGGTAAAAGTATCCAACAAGGTATACCCTCCATTACGTTTGGTAAGAGAAATAGTGAAAGTATCCGACAAAATATACCCCCCATTATGTTTGGTAAGAGAGATAGTAAACGCATGGAATTTCGAATGCCTACTCTTACATTTAGCAACAGAGATAACGAACCTAAGCTGTATGGGCTACCTAGTATCAATTTGCACAAAAGGGATGCTTGTAAGTATTTCTTGTTATTGTTTATAATTTTTGTTAGTTTTGAATTGTCCAGCGTATACTGTACTCAATTTTAAAAGAAACCTGATATATCGCTTCGTTAAAGTGATGAATAATTAATTTCTAACAGGGACAAAGCAAACTATTGTCCCTAGGGACAATCTGTTAGCTAGGCAATTATACAATTATGGGCCTGAAATGTACACGATGCCAGAAGATATAGCTTATCTAACAAGCATGACAGAACCCTCAAGTCTTGATTATCAACTTTCTTTCGCCCAAAGTACACCTGATAGTAAGGCTTTTGGAAAATATAATCTACCAATTTGGAACTTGGACTCAACTGGATTAGCAAGTGGTGGGTTTGTTGACGTCCCAACAGTATATTTGGAATCCGGTAACGAAATACCAATGGCCATGTTAAAAAGGCGTAGCAGCGAAAGATTTACTAAAGATATGTCGACAAGCTATGATCAGAAGAAAAAATTATTTCTTGGATTACCAAGGTTTGGAGATCAAGATCGCTCTGCAAAATCAGCTTTAAAAGATGAATTGCGTTTGATAAATAGAAAAAGGGAATATAAACAGCCCCCTCCAATAATTTATGAAGGAAAGTAGAACCGCTGCATTAATAGAATAAGCTCCGCTTGTTATTCTAGATCATAGCTACAGTAGCTTCCAGAATGACAGTCTAGTATAATAACTTTACCTAAAATTGACATCTGTAGTCATCTCATATGCTGTACCTCACATTTAAATTGTAGTTCCGTCTTTTAATTATTAGTTTATATCAATTTCGCAATTTCTACGTTCATTGCCTTAAAGCCCCTCAATTAATAAATATTTTGACATGACTGGTGTATAACCAAGTCAAGTAATTACTGCCACATTGTACACGGAGCAATAAAATGTTGAGAAGTATGAAATTATCCTGAGTATACTTAATGAACTCAAAATGTTCAAGTGTTGATTGCTATAATTATAATGTTCTCATCCGTTAATAATTGTATAAGCTTAATCGTCAAAAACGAATAAAATTACAAAATAACTTCCAGATGTGCCAGTGAACTAATAATTAACCTACATGATGATGATACCAGGTTTTCGTGTTTTATAACGGCGCTACATTATATGCAATACGAGCTAAAGACAGGATAAAAAGACCATGATATCAAAATTTTATCCTATGTATAAAAATTTACTTACTCGAGGGTTTTGAAGAAGGCTACAGTGATTTATGAGAATGTCATCCAACTCCTTGGAATAAAAAGGAGGCTATTGCATGTTTACATTGGCTGTCACTTTGTTAATTTAACTTATTAAAAGGATGAAATTTCTTTATGGTATATGCTGGTTATAAAGCTCAGTTTGAAGTAAAAAATCATCATACTATGCGCCGTCTTTGAATTGGGCGAAACAATCGATTTAGTAATCATTTAGAAATCATGGGAATTTGTAAAAATTTTGATTATAGCACTAGTATTATTTGACCTATCTTTTAAAATCCTGAAACCACTATAATTTATTTAACAAAGGTGCATAGATGTATGATCACGTAACTACAATTTCTATTGTCGATGTTAGAATTATAATTATAGAGTAACGTAGAACCTATCAAATTTTAATTTTTTAACTACTGTAACAGTAAAATTTTACTGTACACATAGTACTTAGCAGGAAGATGGCAAATATTAAGGAGAATGAAGAATAATTTTATCGTTGAAGTTAAATGTATACATCGTATTCTAAATGTCTTTTTCTTATTTATAATCTACTTTCATAGATTATGAGATTATAATTATTAACATAAATCCTGCATTATCTACTGTGTGCTCTCATAAATATACCCTTTTTACTTTGTTGGATCACAATAATTTACTTTATTAAATATACTGATATGAGAATACATGCAAAGATAACTTTAATCGTATAATATAGTTAGTAAGTCTGTATATCTCTCTATAACTTCAGTAATACGCATTTCATGACAAACCATGATTAATTATGCAATTGTCTGCGATGTAGTAGTATTTGACACCAGTATACGTTAGCATAAAAAGAAATGCACTATATATGACAACAAGTTAGTACCCTATCCTTGAGTGAAGTAGTTTACATTTTCATTTTTAGTTCCAATCTTGTGACAGTCGAGCCTCAATTGATACTGTTAGAAATGATGTGCGGCAGAAGACAATAGCATCAGAGTGCCAGCAATGCGGTGGTTATTTGCTCATTTTTAATGTATTGTAAACGTTTTAATGATACAAAATTTCAAGGTAAAATTGGCTTAATTATAGTTAATAAAATAATAGTTTTATCTCAATTAATTAATAATATCTTCGACGTTCGATAAAAAAATAATAAAATATGACGAAATTAATACGGCCACAAAAATGCTATTCTTAGCATTCTAAAATAGGAAAAGCCGTATTTTCATATGTTCATAAAATTCAAAACTCATTGCACCTAAAATATTTTTGTAAGAGAAGTCTAGAATAGTATTATTCTCTTACTGATGGGTGCACCCTATAGACAATAGCTCAATAATAACAAGAATTCTTTAGATTCATAGTCCTTACTAGTGTGAATGAAATATGATGATAAATGAAGTGATAAAGATGCACAAACTTAAATTTATAAAACAAGTACATGTGAATTACTCGGTAGGAATTCATAAATTCGGTTATTATGGCAATAATACATGGTAGTACTGTATGGAAATCATGGAAAATTTGATACAGGAATATTTTATAGTAATAACGGACGTAAAAGTTTAAGTAAATCCAACAACTTTTAAACCCCAAAACTAGGAGAATTACGGGAAAATACCAGTTTATTTAGAATTTAGCGAATAACTTGTAAAAATCAATTAAAAATTACAGTAAGAGCAAAATTTATTGTCTCAACCAATCAAACTACCAACGTAAAATATGATTTACTCATGAATTTAGGAAAATCTCATTCCCCATTTTCTATCTTGAACTAAGGCTTGAACTACGTTTCTACTGAACTACGTCGCCTTTTACATGCGTATGCTGCGCAGAGCAGTTGATGATATCAGACTATCAAATTACTATTCTAAAGTATTCCAAAAAAAACTAGCAATCAAATACATATGATCAGATAAATTGTACCCTAGATTCCCAGTATTACTAAATCTACAAATTATACTTTTCTTCATTATATAATATAGACCTATAAAAAAGACTAAGACAGACTAACAATCTTAATTAAAACCTATATCGAAACGTTTGGGTTTGCACTGTATTCAATAACGAAGTAACATTATTTCTACTGTATTTTTTAATCAAAATGGGCTACAAGTTTTTATCATGAATGAAGCATGAGTATGATACTGACCAAATATATCACGTAAATTACAATCTAATATCGCGATATTCTTATCAAAATTATGCTACAGAATATTCTTAAGTTCTAACCCGAATAAAGGAGTCGGGTTTACAATATGTTACGATACTAAGTTAAACCAAATTAAGTTATTTTTAAAGCTGCAATACTTATGAAAATAATATAAAAGCTTAAAGGAGAATTCTAAAAATTAATCTTCATTACATTATGCTGCATACTTTACGGGTGATAAAGAATCTTGTCATCTATTTATTGCATGGAAATGCTCCTATTAATATCAAACAATGATCTTTAGATATCGTAGCGGTTACAATATTAGTCGCTCTTAATTGCAATACTGTAAACGACGAATGCCCTACGTTAATTTTTAATCAGTTAAATTTATTCTACTTTTTAATCTATTGCCAAGAATATCATATAACACTCTGCTCATATACTGATATCAGCTATGCTGCATGTAAGGGTGATATTGTTAACTATGAAGAAAGAACTTAAACACTTCAATATTTGTAGTGCTTTTGAACAAAAGTATTTAGCTGTATTAGTGCTGCATTATTAGATTTGCGAACTATCTTTTGAAAACAACCTTTCGAACATTATAGGCTATTCAGGAATTAAAAAATTATATCTAAATAATATAATAGCTTTGAGAATTTTATATACTTACGTAATAATTAGTGCTATAATTGGCTACAAACATAATCCGCATTAATAATTTCAAAATTTATAGCTTGTGAATAAGATTCCTGTCGGCTGTTACTTAGATTGGGTCTTCCGAATTTTAAATCATAGTCAAATTAATTAAAAAAATGATGTCCATTGCATGTTATTAGTGCATAAGACGAAAAATAACCTACGTTAAAACCCTTAATAGGCGAGCAATTCTGTGCTCGATCCCATAATTCGATCTTATATGACTTGGATTTCATGTACTACAGTTGGATAGGATGTTAGTCAATTATCGATTGCTTACAAAGCAAACTTTAGAAGCCTAAATATAATCTAACTTGTACGCTAACGAAATTATAAAAAAATTTAAATTTAGATACCGTTCGTTTATGGCCGACGCTAAAGACGTATTAACGTTCATTTACTAGTTCGTGGGTGCAATCTCATAAATAACAATTTTGAGTGTAAAGCCCGAAAATCT